AAAGATGGGATGTGTTATTTCGACGACATTCCATTTAAATACAGACTATATATGGGCTTAAGCCTTACTTTAATTACAGTAACACGGAATACTTGAAGTATTGAGCATTGTGACTGCCGTATGCGTTTCTATAGTGTAGCTCTAGCCTAATCATTGATACTGTTTTTAAAAAATTCTGAGAAAGCCATAAGACGGCGAAACGTTGAACGTATACGTCTTTGGGAAATATTCCCAGTCTCCGCCGTTTTAAAAAACATTTTGTAGTCTACAATGATGATGATGATGATGATGATGATGATGATGATGATGATGATGATGATGATGGTGATGGTGATGGTGATGGTGATGGTGATGGTGATGATTTGAAAATCAAATTCAGAATCTATCACTTGTGCCAAACAACCTATCGACCAAAAAGTTGAGATCATCAACAAAGCACATCTTACCTTTATTATCTTATATTGTTATTATTCCCAGCTTTCACGCATAATTGTCTCAGTCAAATTCCTCCCCCACCCCCCAATAAAAAAAATTGAAAGTTAAAAAGTTAAAAAAATACTCTTGCAATTATAAACGTTTCGGAAAACGTTAGGAAATCAAAGGACCAACAAAAAAAAAAAAAAAAAAAAAGAGAAAGAAAAGGAACACGGGGAAAAAAATAATTCAGGTAATTTTACGGTGTGTCTGTAAGTACGGGTATGTGTGTGCATGCATGTGAGTGGTGTGTGTGTGTGTGTGTGTGTGTGTGTGTGTGTGTGTGTGTGTGTGTGTGTGTCTGTTTGTGTTTGTGTGTGTGTGTATGTATGTATGTGTGTGTGTGTGTGTGTGTGTGTGTGTTTGTGTGTGTGTGTGTGTGCGTGTGTATGTGTGCGTGTGTCTGTTGAACATGGAAGGGGGGGGGGGGGGTAGAAAACGCACAGATGCACAGATGGGAAGGAAACGTAAATAATAACTACTACCAGTGTGCGAATCTCAAAGAGTAAAACTCGATGTAAGTACAAGATAGTTGACAAAAACTAACGTTACCATCTAAAGCGATAAACAAGCGGAGCGGGGAACAAAATTTTGTAAATAAATTAAATGTACTTCTCAAAAGAATAAGAAAAACTACCACCATCCCCCCCGAATTAAAAAAAATTTTTTTGGTCATCGTCAACAGTCAAGGAAATTAACCCAGATAGGGCAATCATCAGCATTATCATTCTTTGTTGCTTCCCTTTACACACGAACGTGGCTTTGGCGGAGTACTCCTTATCGTGAATCCACCCGAAAGTAAAATAATGTACGAGGGGGGTTCAATGTCAATAAGTCTTTGGTATGGGTATGAAGGAATCATGGTAGAGAAGTGAAATTTCGCCAGCCTATAGACAATTTCTTTGGAACACACCATGCACATTTTCGAGAAAATCCGACAATAATAAGACACTAGTCAGCGTGTTCTATGATACCACACACACACACACACACACACACACACACACACACAGACACACACACACACACACACACACACACACACACACACAAATGCTTTTCTTTGCTGACGCTGTACCATGGAGCCTGTTGAATATCGCCCGTTTATCAAGTTTTTACTCTTGTAAGGAAAATCCCCTTTGGACATTTTTCAGGAAATGGTCCTAGTTTATGGTGACAAATGTCCTCGTTATAATACTGTGACGCGCTGGGTAAGAAAATTCAAATCTGGATTCATATCGGTGATGGACGAAGATCATGAAGGACGCCCATCCATTGTCGTAACTGAAGAGAATGTATCCGTAGTAAAGAAACTGGTTCTACAAAACCGACGTATAACTGTTAAACAGTTTTCTGTGAAAGGACAATCAGTGTAGTGTCAATTGAAACGATTCTCCGTGACCATCTTAAAATGAACAAGGTTTCTGCGTGGTGGGTATCACGCCTTTTGACAAGTGATCAAAAGAAGCAGAGTGTTGAGTCCTGTAAAAACTCTCCTTTCTATTGAGCCCAAGGACACATTTCTTTAAAAACACGGCGACTATGGATGGAACATGGATTTATGATTTTGATCCAGATCACATAATGTCCTCCATACATTGGAGAACCCCCTTTTCTCTTTCACCAAAGAAGGCGAAGGTAACACTGTCAAGTGGAAAGGTCATGCTGTCGTGATTCTGAGATTGTGAAGGTATAACCATGACTGACTACCTGGAAATAGAAAAACAGTCACAGGAGACTACTACTCGGATTTGCTGATACAAATTCGGTCTAAATAGGTGAGAAAAAAGGCGTGAAAAACTTCGTAATGGGGTTCTCCTACTGCATGACAACATCTCTGCGCACAGGGCACAACAAGCCGTCCAGACAGAACAGTGCGGCTTTGAAATCCAGCCACACCCTGCTTATTCACCAGGTCTAGCCCCCTCTGACTTTTTTTTTCTGTTTCCAAATCTTATAAAATCA